GATGATTAATTTGCATTTACTCTCTATGAGACATTACCGTAAGCATAATCATCTGTTCAACAAGCGCAAACTATACTTACATGAAATCGTATGAAATTTGATCATTATCGCAAACATAGTCACATATCATATTATATCTCATGAGCATAATTTTATTGAATTGGCCTATTGATAATTGGAATGAAAATGAATTGAAATGGTTGAACATGATAGAAAAAGATCTATTCCATTCATTTCATGTCTGATTTCAGTGAAGTTAAAGGAAATTTTTTTTTGACTTGTTTGTCTTATATGAAACCCTATATTCCGACTACACATTATACATTCTATACTATTTATATAGATCATGTGACAGACAACGTAATTCCATCATAAATTTTAGGGAAAGATCGTTCAACTAGTGGATAGGTATAGATATCTACTTAAAATAAGGGTTGGATTTCGACATTTACGAAAACAATCATATGTCAATAGATATTTTTTATAAATCTATGACTCTCTTTAATGAGAGGAGTTTAGACTCAGTGTCGTCTCTCATTAAAATCATTGGACGTCGAGTTTGAAATACATCTATATCATTGGTTTTGGGGAACTTACATCTTTTTAAAGAAAATAGTGAGTGTAAGTTTTAAGTCGCATTTTTGTGGATCTTAGCAATTGAGGATAACAGGCGTCAGACTTTGTATAGTTTTTTTTGCAAAATTGATGAAGTTATAATTTTGAAAGATAATCAACATCATTGTTTCTGAGTTACTTAACATATATATATATATATATATAATAGTGCGTAAGATCTGCTATAGATATAATGGATATGTAAAACAGATGCATTTGCCAATTAATTCAATGATTATAATAATAAGAATGTTAAATTAAGAAAAACGAATTTAAAAAATGAATAATAAGAAGCGAATAGTAGCAAAGCAAAATAAAAAATAGAGTGCCCGTAGAAAAAGAAAATTTCTGTTCAAAATGCAGAAATTAGAAACACTCTTACTCTGATGTTCGATTATCCTACAAAATAACTATAGTCTACAAAAGATTTTTCATTTTACATATTTTGTATTAGTTTAATGAGGCTAGAGAATATATGTGAGTTTCACATTTCAGCCCCAAAGGGGCTACGCTAACAAGCTTCCTATATTATCAATATCAGTATAGAAAACTAAGAATAAAAATATATGTTCCAGCGTATAGTAGAGGATAATAGAGAAAAATTTAATTTTTCATCTTGTGATAGTTTTAGAAAAATTTGGACATCGATATTTTTTCTGTCGAAATATTTTGTGAAAAAAAACGTTCTCTATTATGTGAAAATTTCCAAGATACAGCTGTACCTTGACTAATCTATTATACAAAGCATTTGTGAAGTCAAAAATGATTTTACGATTACAATAATAGAAAACATCGACTTTCATAACACAACATTGTGTATTTTGTACATTTCTCTATAATAGAAGCTATTGAATCAACAATTCTCAAATAAGTAAAAGAACATGATAGATCACACAGAATCAAATAAGAGCAGTCAAGATTTGGATTATGTAATGCTATAACTTTCTTTTGTTTATGAATCCTATTTAGTCAGATAAAATCAGATCAGAGTACTTTACTCTGTTCTTATATATTTCTTAATCTCAGAATCTAATACTATGTCCAATGACATCTTTTATTCTGAATCTGACAAAATCTTTAAAAAATGCATCTATTTTCACTGTCTCTTTTTTCTTTCCCGTCTACTTTACATCTCATGCATATCCCTTCTCTCTTGCATTCTTTTTGTGCATGGTGTTGCATCTAGTCTATTTTCAATATTCTTGTTCAGAATCTTCGAGAAGATTATTATTATCCTGAGACTTCTATTATATATATCCGCCCTTGTGCCTATGATATTCATTATGTTCAGAAGAATTCAGTGAAAACCCTCCCAGAATCGGTTTGTGATGAGCACTTTGTTCAAGGAATTTTTTGTATTTACTGTTCCAAATAAAGGAAAACTATAATTCTAATAATTACTTTACAAGACTGAAGAGGAAAACAATCTAATTTGGGCAAGAATACCAGTTCAGCAATCAAAATCATAGAAATATGAATACATGTTATCATATTATCTCCAAAAATTAGCTTGGGCATCCGAGGGTTAAATATACATAAGTTTTTGGACATAATTAAATCTATGATTGATATCAAATAGTAGCACATTAATTTATTGCTTTATAAACTTTCTCATAAAATTTAAAGATAGGCACCTCCATTCTGTCCTGTCCCTACTCCATTTTAACTCTGATGAGAAAAAGCATCAACTTTGGAGTTGAAATTGCCCATCTCTGATGTCAACCATTTCAAAATATTTACTCTTCAGATCCTCCTGAACATATCCATAACATGCGAGCTTACAGAAGACTTCTCAGAACAAGTACTACATAAGAATTATAGCATGATCCTCATAGAAGATGCTCATTATTTTTAGATTTTCAAAGCCCATAAAATCCATAGATCTCAATGTTTGTCACTGGAGAACTCCGTTCGGATTGACATCCATCTTTTCAGTATTTCCAAAAGTAGAAGCCCTCTCAGATTAAATAGATTCGCATGGAATCCTCTCAACTTTGTTCAATTTCTCCTGTATCCAAGCCTTCTCATGATCTTACTCAGAGTACATCACGGTTGTTCTTCGAACAGCTTCACATAACTTACCAAAAGCCTATGCAAATACTTAGGAGATTCTTCGGCAGATCTACATTCATCATATAGAAAATTATGTATCCTTAAGGTTTCCTAAAAAACATAGGGATTAGATTTGATATTTTGTTGTTCAACGATTCGATATTCTTCTCACAAGATACAGATAGAATCTTCTGTGATGTTCATATAAATGATCATTCTGCCAAAAAGATTCTGAATTCTTGCAATTCTGAAAAAAATCTTCAGATTCTTATGTTTTTCTATCAAAAACTTACATGGAATTAGTATTACTCTTTCTTGGAGAACCTCCTTACAGCAATCTCCAGGTGTTATTTTTATGATCAAAAAGATCTTGGCAAGAACTAGAAGTAACATAGATGTAAGAATCGTTACCAAATCCTTTTTTTCTCATAAGAAACTAGGAAAAGACTTCTGAATTTTTATCTGTGGAATGAGCATTTTCAAAGACGAATGTCATATTTTGTAGCACTTGCTCCCACGAGAGATGGAATCCCTTCGATAACGACGACTTCTTTTCTTTTTTGTTCATTGTAGTAATTCCCATTATTCCAGCCGATGCCCGATGGAAACAGAATGGTACGACTGTTGCTGGAGGCCATGGATGGGGTAGTGCTACCAATCAACTCCAGAGGCCTCATGGTCTCTTTGTTGATGATGATCAAACGATAGTCATCGCTGACTACGGCAATCATCGTATCATCCAATGGAAGATGGGTGATACGAATGGACAAGTAGTAGCTGGTGGCAATGGCCAAGGAAATCGACTGGATCAATTGAATGGTCCAACCGATGTGTTGATCGACAAAGAGACGGATAATCTCATTATTTGTGATTGGTTGAATCAACGAGTCGTTCGATGGTCTCGTCGTAGTGGTACAACTCAAGGAGAAATCCTCATCGACAACATCTCGTGTCCGGGATTGGCCATGGATGATCAGAGATATCTCTACATCTCTGACACCGACAAACATGAAGTAAGACGATATCAAATAGAAGACAAGAATGGAACTCTTGTAGCTGGTGGCAATGGCAAAGGTGCTGGTCTCAATCAACTCAACTCTCCGTACTACATCTTTGTCGATCAACAACAGACTGTCTACGTGTCAGACAACAACAATCATCGTGTAATGAAATGGAATAAAGGTGCAAAAGAAGGAATTGTTGTCGCTGGAGGTCAAGGCCAAGGGAATGCTCTGACACAATTGCCGTATCCTAATGGACTGTTCGTCGATACATTGGGTACCATCTATGTAGCAGATTTTGGGAATGATCGAGTAATGCGTTGGCCTAAAGGAGCAAAACAGGGCACTGCCATTGTCGGTGGAAATGGTAAAGGAGAAGGAGCAAATCAGTTCCAATACCCCATTGGTTTGTCCTTCGATCGACATGGTAATCTCTATGTCGCCGATCTGCAGAATCATCGTGTTCAACGTTTTTCAATCGAATAGACTCGTCGTGATAGATTCTTTTTTTCTTTCCTTTCGTTTCAAATAAATCGCATTGGATTGCTGAAATAAATGTCTATTCTATTCGCGTGCGCGACCAGGAACCATCCTGGTGGAGCCGTGGCGAGCGTAACGCTCATGCACGCACAGGACAGACTCATATCATTCATACCCTCCTCGTGAGAGATATGTCAATGAGTCTGAATAAGCCTGGTCGTGTGCCACGTACACCAAGACGATTCCTCACCGGGTTTTTAGGGCCTTCCAGGAAGGCCTGTAACTAACGGGGACCTAATCTCAATGGACATAACTCACCCCTTCCCCCTACTAACACTCTTTTCTCAGTCACTCTATCCCTCTCCTCAATCTCAATACTACACTATCTAACCTCATCTATCTCTCCCCTATTCTCATCTCACAAAAAAAAACATTACTCACCCTGTTTTGATGTTGAACGATGTTGATTACGACGCGATGATATTGAGAACTAGAAAGAAAAAAAAATTAATTTAATGCTATATAATGAAAAAAAAAAGAATGAGTTAACTTACCCCACTGTTATCTTGTCATAGTTGAAAATATTCATCGAACCCAAGACAAAAGAAAAAAAAATAAATTAAAAAGATTATAGGAGGTCTTACTTCACCATCCTTATAATCGTTAAATAAAAAAAAATTAAAAAAATTAAAACTGATACCTACATTTTTTTTTATTGTATGGCTTGATCTTGATTTGATTAATTTTGTATCATCGAGGCCAATCTAAAACAGAAAAAGAACAATGATTTATGGACGAGAGAAAGACAAAAAAGAAAATTCCTCTCTTCACATATATTTCTTTTTTCTTTCCTTTCTCTGTTGCTAACATTAACATATATAATGATTTATTTATGAATTTTTTTAGATTGTATCTCATTTGGAATGAAAATGAAATTGTTTTGTTTATTTTTATTAATGATACTCAATAACAACATTTGTGTATAATTATTTTTAATTATTTTATTTGTTATGATAAAATAGAAAATATATTACATCAGACGAACTATTACTTAAGTAGAACATATTCTAGTTAAAACAATTGCTTTTTTCGTTAACATTCTTAATGTTAAAAACTGTTGATTCAATTTCATAGACTGTCGAAAAAAACAAAACAATGGAAGTTTTTAAACACTTAAATTTTTACAATAATATTCTTTTTGGATGAACATATCTAAATATCAACAAAATTTTAGATCAAAATAATTCATTACAGAAGTTTGAAAAAATCTCTCTTTGTTAGGTGGATTTATTACAACAGAAAAGAATGAAACAAGATATATTCTTCTTTTGAATAAAAATTTATTTATATCGACATATCTATTCTATACACATCAAGATCAACAATTTGTTATTCATGTACAAGTATGTATTAATCAATAAAGAAAAAAGATTAAAAAATGTATATATAATAATGTTTTTAGTGATTTGGAGAATTTTATGTTTAATGAATAATGTTGATAAATCCATGTGTACAATTAATTTAACTAATAATTAAACAACAACATCGTCAGATTTCTTCATTATTATTATTTTCATCATGAACATATGATTAATAGTCCATTACTTGATTTATTATTCCGTACAACTATTAAAACGAAAATATGAATTAATACTATACCAAATTCGGAAACATTTTCATATTAATAAAAATGAGTATGTATTAGATGACAATATTGTTATAAAGAACAAAATATTAACATATATAATTAGTATTTAATTGAAATGGAATATAAGAGAAATCGAATACAAATTAATATTAATTTTACAATATTATTAAATATTATTCAAGTAAGATAATTATTCAATGAAATATATTTTACTACTTAAAAAAAAATTATAGAGTCAAAAAAAATACATCATAAAATGATTTAGTATCAACAGGCTCGATATTTTTTCAAGATTTTACTAGTCATATGCTTAAAAAAAATCTATGTGTAGTTTTTCTACAAGCATTATTTGATTGTTCGATACGATAGCAAAGTCTGAATACAAACTCGCTTCTCAACAATCAAACAATAGCTTTCAAAAAGAATGCATAAATTTTTTTCTGCTTGTTTATCAGTCGAATAAAACCATTAGAAAAAAGTTATCGAGTTTAACGAGATTTGATACTTTTGACGTATTTCAATTTTCATAGACTATTATGGAATTCTTCTCGTACTAAACCAGAGTTGCTAGATCGAAAAATTAGAAATCGAAATGTTTTAACCAAAATTCGAAATTTTTTAAATTCTACTTCGGAAAAAGTTCGGAAAGCAGTTGTTCCATTATCAGATATATATACCACTTTTTCTATGGGTATATGTATTGCTCTATCAGTATTTTGTGCAAAAATTGTTGCCGATATACTTATTTCTTTCTTCAATCTCGCGTAAATTTATATCTGAATTACCATCTTCATCATTCATGGCTAAATTTAATTCAGGATAACAAGAGACAATTTTCATGTAAAAAAACACTTTTCTAAACTTAAAGTTCAGTCCATGTCAAAGAAGTTATTGATTCAAATGACATTTTTTTTTAAACAATACAAAGTATTCATTGAGTTCGGATAGGTTTTAAGCTCAAACGATCTTACATTATAAATAGTCTCAAAATTGTATTATGGAATGATTAAAGTAGAACAACGACAGCGCATGAATTGCTAATGAACGTTACATTAGAAGTTATAACCAAAGTCATTAAATCTCGAACCTAGAGAAATAACAGGTCTCGAAAAAATATTCAAAATTCGAAAGAGTTTGGAAAAAGTACCAAAATTCGGAAGATCTGGCAGCCCTGTACTGAACTAATCATTCATATTGTATTCTTGTGATCCGATCGAAGTCGGACATTTATTGGATTTTAATTGCAACAGTGATGGACTAGTTTAATTTTCTTGTATTACATTAACTCATCTATACAGATCGTTACTTGCATTTTCGAATGAACTATTTTTTTGTAATCAATTCCAGTATTGTTTTTCACATAACTTTTTTTTATCCTAACAGATTTTGGAACACTTTATGCTAAAACAATGGAAGCAATTCATACGTTAGATTAAAAAAATGAATGCTCGTTTTTATGCTTATCTTAAGGTAATTTTATTTCATTGAATAGATAATTTAAAAAATAAAAATTATTTAGAATAGATTCGTGAACAAAATTGAATTCGGTTACAACATCTAGCTGTATTTAATGATACAACCTATTCAAGATTTATTTAAATACACATTAACCGCATATATTGATTTTGAATTATTAATTAATTCATTGGATTAATAGTGTCGATAATTGTCGAGTAAGAAAACGATTCTGACAGTATTGAGTATGCTTTGTTTTTGTTGTTAAATTTTAGTCAGAGTTTCTTGCTGCGCATCGTGATTATATAGAAATATTTCAAGTTATTGAACTTTCACAAGAATTAAGAACAACATGAACACATTTAACTGTTTCTTTTCTCCAATTGTCTTGAATATATGTGAAAAACATTCGGTATAAAAATATATTGCACTTATTCAATTGGGGAATATTCAAAGTTTATTTGATATTAATCCATCATCATTAGCAATTGATGATAAAATTATTGACTGTTTTTGTTTTTTGTGGAACTCACATTACGTCTTTCTTTTCGAAGAAAAATAGAATAAGTGTAAGTTTTAGAGGCACGCGACATAAAAATTTAGACGTTTGCTGAATTCTTACTCATCATATTTTCTTTAGAATCTATTTCATATTTCTCATGGCATCCTGATAGTGGTCATTTATGAATGTGATCATTATAGACTTTTACTTTAAGAGTACCAATTATAAGACATCAGACCCATACTCAACTAGCTCTATCGAGAACTATGAGAAAAGCAGTTATCTCAACTGACACTAAAGGTTATATAGTTATATATTGTATGACTTTAAGTGTATAAATAAAAAGAAAACGAATATTGAAGAAGTTTTTAGATGTGATACGATTCAACAGTGGAGTCGTTTTCTCTAGACAAAAACCCATACCCACACCCTTTACAGGAAATGATGAAAGAAACTCATCCGAAAAAAGTAAAGAAAGTCAAAGATGAAAAAAATATGAAAATCATATTAACTTCAAAAACAAAAACGGATAAAATTTGATTTCTCATGTATTCATTTATAATCTGGTAGAAATTTTTCACTTCAAGTATTTGGGAGGAGTATAATGAGACTAAAGAACACATGTGGGTTCTACATTATAGTCCTCAACGAGCTGCACTGACACAATCTCTATTTTTATTTAATTAGAATTTTTCTAATTCAAGAAATTGAATAATTTGGAACACTTTGTTCAATTGATGGTCATACACATATCTTCATTATCATCGATTTCAACATTATCGAATAGTACTCATCATCATGGAAATAAGAAAATCTATGTACTTTATCAGTTAGCTAAAGCGGTTCTCATAGCGTACAATTTTAATTTTAGTCTTCACTTATTCAAACATTACTTGAAAATTCAGACATTGATTCAGATTGACGTTCAACTAGCCGTCTAAATTTATTAGATTTAGCACTTAAACGTTTTGAAAATTTTCCTTTTTGTTTAAATTAATTAACATTGAATAAATATTTCTATATATGGTTAAATTTTAGTGGTCTTCATAAAGCAAAGAAACGAGTAAGTGGAGCTTTTTTATTCAATCCAGAACCTAATAAACGTTTAACAAAAAAAAATTAATTGTCCAATTCATTTATTAGAAGATGAATGGCCAAATAGTTTCGATTCAAGTAAACAAATGAGTTTATTATGAAGACAAGTAAGTATTTCAAATGAGAATTTCTCATAATTAAACTAAAAAATTCAGAAAATTTTGACTTATTCAACAACTGCAAGGAATCGGAGATGCTTGTGCTCATAAAAACTAGTGCTTCAATAGAAAGATTATTTATCTCAGCTGGGTTGACGTCTACTCAATGATGAAAACATTTATCATCAAGTCAAAATTTTCAAATATATTATTTATTCGTTCTTGTTGTCTACCTGTTGATATTGATTACATTTTGAATAATTAATATTTTAAGTTTTATCTTTCGTTGTTTTGACTTTAGTGATATATTAAATCATGAGAAAAACGAACGAAATAAGAACTATTATTTGGTTTACTGGACATAGCTACGAGGAACGTAAAAATGATTTCTACCGAATCACTCTTGAAGTAATTCAAAACTAGCTTTATTGAAGTCCAAATGGAAGTTTAATAGATGAACAATTCAATAATTATCTCTAAAGTTATCATGATAACTTAGGATACAAAAGCTTTGACACTAATTATTCCTTTATGTAGTGGTGAGTTAAGCTTACATTAATTGATGTTTGTACGAAACAAAATCAATATTTTCATCATTCATAGCTTGTTTAAATTGATGATGAAACAGATTTTCAGTCTTTTTTCTTCCTATGTAAATATATAATTAGATAAGAAATTCTGTAGAACTAACTTCATGCTATAAAGTTAGTTTTTGAGTTGAAAAAGAAAAAAATGGACCAAATGAAATTTTTGTATCGATTTCAGTTTGAAGTTGTTTCAAACATCTACTTCTATTATGAAATGTTTAAATTAGAAATAACTCATGAACACATATTTTCGAAATTTATTGTTTTCCCTAATAAATATCTAAAACAGGAAGGAATATTTTATTATAACTCTTTACAGTAGAAGTCATGCTGAAATAAATACCTTCATAAGAAAAATTAATATAAAGTACCTGTGAGAATCTTTCGTTTTTCTTCAATGTGATTTGTATGCCAAATTTAGTATAATAGTTTCGATGCAAGAAAGTACTCGGTACTTATCTGAAGAAAAATCTTAGTATTCTTCGAGAAAAGAATTCCGAATGTTTTGCTATTCTCGAAGAAAAGCGAAACTTTTTCCTCATTTTGAACTGTCACAATCTGAAAAAGCAGGATATAATTAGATGTTCAATATAATTCCTCAACAAAGTTGATCATCGAACATTATTCAAGACGTCATCAAAATTTTTCTTACTTTTTAATTTAGATATTAAAAAGGCGAGATCAATTTTTAAATAAAATCTGATCGAGAACTTTTCCTATCTATCGAAGGACAACCGTCAGATGAGAACATGAAAAGTTGACTGACAAAGTATGGTTGTTCCGAACCTTCGTTCTTCACATATCGAAATTTTACTGGATGTTTCAGCATAAAAATATGTGATTCCCTTCAAGTCACTTAGAAAATTAGAATTTCGACTTCAAATTTTGCGCGAACAAAGTTCTTAACGAGATTCATTAATAAAGAAAAATTTCTATTATTCAATATCTCAGGATAGAAAAACAGAACTAGAAAAGTTACGACATACCCAAAGAATTAATCTAATGTTTATGCAAAATTTGATTGCGGAAGTCGATTTTTCGTGTGACCTGAGTAGGACTACAGATTTTTGTTGAAAAACAACGAAGGTCCAGAAAGCAAAATCAGTCTAAACTTTTCTATTACTCTTCAAATGAACACCGTCTCGGTCGAAAAGTATATCATTACTTCAGATTGAATTTTTGTTCGCTCTATTTTGATTGATGTGATCTAGTTTCCAAAAGAATTTAACAATATTTTTTCAATTCTGAATTCATTCATATCTTTGCGTTTTTTAGAATTCGTTCATGAAAACTGTTCATCATTTGGATTCTTCGCTATCTATGTAATCCATTCAAGAACGTAAGTTTGTTGAATATTACCTTTAGTTTTTTTTCATTTGATATCTATACTTTTACAATGAATGTATATTGATGATTAACCCACTTTTCGGACTAATCTTCTGGAATACTGTTCCAGTTCGTAGTATGTTATCTTTTTTTTTCTTTGTGTATTGATCAGATGTTATTCAAAATAAAAATTGACAGTAGAAAGAAGAAAATAATGCAGTTTTATGACAAATGAATGACTCATCTTTTATATTGCATCATATTATTTTGAAATCACAGTATAAAATAACATAAAACTAAAACACCCCTTCTACACAACCTTTCTTCAGATAATGACACACATAGAAGAAATTGATTTTAATGGATCGCCAGAAGAAGTTGAGAAAGCTTTGGATCAATGATCAAAGACACTATTGACGTTCAATAAGTCAAAATCGAATGAAAATATGTAAGAAATGATTCATCTGTTGTTGAAATATAAAACATTTGTGTAGCTGAAACAATTCTCTATAAACAGTAGCAGATCGGAAGACTTCAACTAAGTTGCTTGGATTAAGATCTTCGAAAAAAATTTTCTTTCATACGGCAAAATAGGGCGTCATCGAACTCTCCAGGTACTTCCTTCATCGATTTGCTTTCGATTAGCGAGAATCCAAAAAGCAGTTCGATAAAGGAAGTTCATGGAGAGATCGGAGACGTCTCATTGCGCTCTATACAATAAAAATTTTTCTCAAAACTTTCGAATAGACACCAGAAATCTGGTTTTGGACATTTTGATTTTTCCACAAATCCTGAGTCAAGTGGTTACGTTGAGATCTTCGGATCTACTAATCCTGATGAAGAATTCTTTTTAGCTGCACGTCTCTCTGTGTTATCAGAGACCGTCACACGCTTTGTTGATATATAATCAAGGACTGTGTCCTAATACCATCTAGTTAACTACTTCCTTATTGCATTTCTGGAACATCAAGTAACACAATGGTGAAGAAATCTCTTCTAAACTAGACTGAATAAAACAATCTCCTTGTGATTAGCAACAGCAACTGCATCGTGTTCCACACTTTAATCCCGCACGAAGTGCGCTAACAACATTATTATTATTTCGTTCATAGAACATCAAAACTTGATATTCGAAATATTATGATCACAAGTACGTGACCTTATGTCAACAATGTACCTCATTTGAGTACTCTTCTATTGGATCTTTATTAAGTGTTGATGTTTTCTTGCTCGGTAAAAACCAGACAATTTCTTATTTATTTATTTTCCATTGTTAATTTTAAATTTAAGGTATTCTCGATTGAAAAATTACAATACTTTATATATTTGTGATGCTGATGAATATGATACAGAAACTGAAACAAAAGCATTAAAACCAAAATATACATCACGAGAAACTTGCGATATTTTGATTTCCATAAAAAAAAATTTATAGATGGCTTCAATAATAACTTTGAACAGGTATATTGTGACATTTGTCAACGATACAGAACTTGTTTGCATTTTTTTCTAAATTTTTATATATTCATGTATTTGAAGTTTTCTGGCAGATCATTATATAGCCGGTACATTGTTCAGATGTAACATGCAAATTTGTTGATACTCGTGATGATCATTGTGATAAGTGTGGAAAATGAATTAATGGTGTTGAAGTTATTGATCCAAAATGTCAAATTTTTCATAGTACGCTCACAGATTAGAAAATTCGAATATTTGTTTCATGTCGATTAGAAAAATTCTAAGAATGA